AATGGTCGCTGGCAGTGTTTATAACTTTATTATAACTTTATTCAAAGCCTCTAGGTTCATTATTTAAAATGAGGAATGATTAGTTAACTGCAGAAATTTTATGCCAGGACTTCTAAAGTACCCTCCAGATAATTCCTTCTCCTCGTGCCTACTCTAGGATTTTCCCATGCTAAAACCAATAAACTAGCAAGTCCCAACCAACTACCAAGCTAATTTATCTTTCTGCTTTTCCTTGTAATTACAATAGTCATGAAGTCATGATAAGAAAAAAAATTGATGATCAGTACTAGATACCGCAAATCTTGCTCCTCTCATTCTACACAGCTAATAACGTTATCATTAAATATTAAAAGCAGATGAGTGATGCAATTAAATACTCGTTTAAATGAGAGGAAAATTGTATCATTGAAGAAAGGCAAAATCCTTGAACACAGTGAATGGTTTCATTATTTATAGATATTTTTAAAGACTCGTTGACATTAACTTAAAGTGTTAACTGCTGGCCTTTGGATATGAACGTAGAACTGTGATGTATCATTTATCACATCTAAGTTATCGAACTATTTAATATAAACTAAAACTTATTTTATTAATAACACAGCTGCTGTCAAACAGAGTTTGGTTTGTGTCTCTCGATAGGAGTGATCTGAATAGTGTGTCTGTGCAAAACGCAAATATAATGTCATTTTAAATGCCAAAGGACACTAAATGTAGAAGACACCACATTTCTGGGCCAGCCAGTGGTGTGGTGGCTAAGGCGGCTGGATCTTACATGGCCAACTGTCCTGTTCGAGTCCTGGACCTGGAGGCTTTAAGAACGTACTGAATGCACATGCATGCATGCCCAAAATCCTGAGAGAAGAATAGAGAAGGGATTGCAGTGTGGCCATCCTTCCTGAGTGGGCAATCTCTCACTTTCCTTCCCTCTCTCTCTATCCCTTTCTGGTGAGTACATGTACCCTATGACAAAGAAAAAAAAAAACAAAAAACTATGCTTTTTGCTTTTTGTCTTCGGTAAAAGTATGCATGCATATCACTATTTCCCTTGACCCAACATGCACATGAATATACAACATTCTTTTCCTATAGTAAATTATAAATAGACTTGAGCAAACTGTAAATCCTAAGAGTTAACAATCTCCTTCATATGTGTACATTCTCCTCAGCTTATAAATGGCATCTCATATGAGTAAGTGATTTTTAACAAAAAGAATAACTTCTGTTTTCCTCATCTTGCCTTGTTCCTACATCTAAGAGTAAAAGACCTATAAAATATAATTAATAAATACCCAGTATCAGGAACCAGCAGTTAGTGTAATGGCTATGTCGCTGGACTCCCACGTAGTCGACCGCGGTTTGTGTCCCGGACCTGGTGGCTTAAAACTCACGCTGGGCGCGTGTGCGTGCATGCCCAAGATCCCGAGAGGAGAATGGAGAAGGGATTGCGGCGTGACATCCCCCCTGGGGGTGTGATTTCTCGCTTTCTGTCTCTATGTCTCTCTCTGTCTGGCAAGTGCACGTGCCCTATAGCGAAAACCTCTCCAAAAACAAACAAACAAACAAACAAACAAAAAAACCCAGTATCACAAATTATACTGTAAACTAGGACCAGCAGATCATCACTAGGATCACACATAGTGGACTGTGGTTCGAGTTCTGGACCCAGTGGCTTAAAACTCACACTGGGTGCATGTATGTGTGTGCCCAGAATCCCGAGAAGAGAATAGAGGAGTAGGGACTGTGGTGTGGCCATCCCCCCAGGAGGTGATTTCTTGCTTTTTCTCTCTGTCTCTCCATCTCTCTGGCAAGCACATGTGCCCTATAGCGAAAATCTTTCTCTCAAAAAAAAATACAGTGTAAACTGATAAATATTCCAAATTCATTATCTTGGATAGAGTTCCCTGGAATATACTGTATTATCCCCCACAACACTCCTAATGAGGAAAAATCTGGGCCAGCTCTGTGGCACAGCAGTAATGCGCTGCTCAGGAGAACATGGATCCCATGCGGTGAACCTGGTTTGAATCCCTGGCCCAGTCTGCCTAAAACATGCAGGACATGTGCATGAATGTCAAAGATCCAACAGGCTGGCAGACTGGATAAAGGGGATCGTGGCAAGACTAGACCCCGTGGAGGCTACTCCTCTCTTTCACTTTCATGTGCACATGCATGCACTACATCCTGAATAAAGGAGAAAACATTTTTCTAATTCAAAAGAAAATCACAGAATGAAAAAGTAGTTTGAAAATTTCCAGTCTATGTTCTGAGCTTTGAGTTTCTATCACTGTTCAAGAACTAGTGCATAATAAAATACTTTTTACAAAGAAGAAGAAAAACATTGTTCTTACCCAGAACTTTAACATGATAGTTCGTAAAACAAGACATGGTAAAATTATAAAATAACTAAAATAATTAGAGCACCGCACAGTATATCAGTGAAGGGTACAAATAAGGAATTAGACAAATGAATTTATTCTGGGCACTTAGCAGGAGACTAACTGGGGGCCTCTTGCTGACAAAGTGTGCTTCTGTCTTTGGGAAACCAAGGCAAATGTTCTTACTGGGAAACTTAGGAAGGGTAACTCACTTTGTCATGAACCTCGCTTTGGTGTGATGATCGTCAAATAATAAATGGAATAAACTGCAGTTATCTTTGCTGCTAATTTCTGACTCTCAATCATATTTTCAACAATCGTCCACCTTGACAAGTAACATCTGACACCTTACCTCCTGAATCTCATCTTCTCCAATTTAGGAGAAAGGAGATCAAAACAATATGTTTACAACTTAAATTTTACAAAAATGTGTCAAAAATACCGACATACAATATATTGGGTCATCAGGAAAGTCATGATGCATTTTTGCATAGAAAAACATTAAAAAAAAAACCCATGACTTTCCCAATGACCTAATAGTTAAACTCTCCAGTCAGAAGGACCTGCATTTGAAGGCCAGTTTTTCCACTTAGCTTTTTGAACTTAACTAAGTTATTTAGACTTCCCTAAGCCTCAATTTTTTACATCTGTAAAGAGGGTATAATAATGGCACCGATCCCTAAACCTAAACCTCAGAGGACCTGGTTTTTTTTTTTTTTTTTTTGGGGAGATTTTCAATAAAGGGCGCATGCCCTGGCCAGACAGACAGAGAGAGACATAGAGACAGAAAGCGAGAAATCACCCTCCAAAGGGGATGGTCACGCCGCAATCCCTTCTCCTCCATTCTCCTCTCGGGATCTTGGGCACGCACGCACACGCGCCCGGCGTGAGTTTTAAGCCACCGGGTCCAAGACGCAAACCACGGTCGACTACGTGGGAGTCCAGCGACATAGCCATTACGCTAACTGCTGGTTCCCAGAGGGCCTGTTTTGAATCCTAACTTCACTTACTAGTTATTGGCCCATAGTCAAATTACTGAGACCTTTCAAATATTTATTCTTTCTCTTCATAAAATGAGGATAACAGTATCTTGAAATTTTAAGGTTGGGAGTAAAGGGATAATGCACGTGGACTGCTCAGTACAGAGGCTAACTCAGAAACTGCTAATTGGTGCACTTACGATGTTAAATTTCAAGCACTAATGTTGCCTTTGAAGATGGCACAATAATTATCACAGGTCCATTTTCCTCAGCACTAGTGACACATTTTGCTCTACTAGTCTCCCTTTTAACAAATGTTACAAATTTATGAGACAGTTGGAAAATGTCATTATTGTGGTAAAATGAATTTAGATTTGGAACTGCTTCCTGCCATTTGTGACTAAGCATGATAAAATCTCAACCAAAAATCAGGAAAAGTATAGAGTACTTTCTCAAGAAATTTTGAAATTTATCTTCTGCGATTGCATTTTTTATATAAAATTAAGTTTGGCATTTTATACATCCATAAGAAGCCATATAACAGATGTATCTGTTTTATAACTAATCTGCTATTGCCAATTATTCAGCAGAACAATTAAGCCAAGAGAACAAATGGGTCATAATACAATAGATAATAATCATGCTGCCATAAACATTGTGAAGAAAATTTAAAAATTAAAGAGATGGTCTTAGTATCATATTTGTTGTCCATAATAATGGTTTTACTATTCAAAATTAACTGCAAAGCAAATTTTGGAATGAAACATAATATACACATCCATGCTTACAGTTCACAACCAGGTACAGTCAGGTATGGTCATTGATTCCATCAAAAGTACACACGAATACAGATAATTCTTCTGCTTACTACTACTAGTACTACTTCAAATATTCTATCTTTCCCCAAAGTTTGTACTAGGCAACTTTACAATTACTACAAGGCATATGCATCTCTAATAGACTATGGAATAAACACACACACACACACACACAACAGAACAGTAGCAAATTCTGCCCTCAAATGTCTTATCTCCTACTTCATGTCTATTAAGTTTGGGCTCCTCATCCATCTTTCTCAACCTTCAAGTGTTTTTCTGTCCCACCTCAAATCT